GATCTTCCAAAAAAAAATTCTACAATCAATTGCATCCTGATTCAGGGGAACCCTGAGGGCACAGATAAACCCCCAAGGGACCTCAGCAACTCTCACAGAGAGTGCTAACAACCAGATGACCGAAAAGAAAGTCATCTGGTCATCTATCCCGCCACCCACAGCCTATCAGAAACGATCCTTCTGTCCCCACATCACCCAGTCTCAACTGTCAGTATCTATCCTTCTATTCCCGCCCCCCCCAACCCGCCGTCAGAACTGACAATGCTTCTTGGATGAGAAGTGAAAAGTTTTCATCCTCAAGGAAAAAAAACAACAGTCTAATTGGCTTTTTGAAGGGAAAAAAAGCTCATTTGAGACAACTATGACCTGGCTGACTGAGAATCTCCACAGACATTAAGCAGGAAAAAGGCCCGAATGTGATTGTATTTGCAGGAGGCTGCTGAAGAAGCATCACTACCTACCCTGATTCCCCAAAAATAAGACATCCCCTGATAATAAGCCCAATCGGGCTTTTGAGCGCATGCGCTAAAATAAGCCCCCTCCCCCAAAAATAAGCCCTCTCCACGAATATGTAAATGCATGTGCAGCTGGTCCCCGCCATTTCCTTTGGTTTCCTCCATGTGTCCCAAAATAATAAGACGTCCCCGAAAATAAGGCTAAGCACTTATTTCAGGGTTAAAAAAAAATATAAGATAGAGTCATATTTTTGGGGAAACACGGTAAAGTTACGGAAATCTTGATCGAATCATAAACGGAGCAGGTTGCTGGAAGTAAAAGAATCTGGAACTTTAGTAAAAAGCTTCCTGAAAGAGTTGGAACTTTGAAATTCAGTTTATCGTGGGGGGGAAGGAATTCTGAGGCATGGCTCGGCTCATCGTGGGCCTCCGCCCCCCAGCTGCCACAGCCACCGGGCCTGATGCTTCTTGGTGACCAAACTATGTGCAAAGCTACCAAGGGAGACTCCCCTCCCCCCGCCAGATTACTCCAGCAAGTGGCAGACTCGGGGCCAGGCCACTCGGAGGAGAGCCATGGAGGGGGGGGAGATGACCCAAAAGTTGAAAAGAACTTTGAAGAGAGAGTTGAAGAGGGTGTGAAACCATTAAAAGGTGTGGTCTACGACAGTCCAAAAGACCATCCCCCACTCTCAGGGAGCTCAACAATGAAATCCGTAGCTATCTCTTCCCAGGGTCAAGACGGGTCAGCCACGTGCTAGAGTAATCCAGGGGGGTCTCCCTTGACAGCTTTGTGTATAGTTTGGCTGCCAGAATCTTCTCTCCAGGCTGCATTGGGCCCGGTGGCTGCGGCGTATTTTCCCATGCGGGGGATGGAATCAGCCATCACAACATTACTCAAATTGGAACAGAGACTGAGTAGAAAAACTGGCGTTTATAAATACATCTGACAAACTTTAGTTGCGCCGATGGAATCCAGTCGTAATAAATCCTTACAGGCTCATTATTCTGACTCTCAATTGCATCGAGGAAAGCATATTCTATCCATGGGCTCTTTATTACGGTAGTGCTTCGTGTTTTTGTTTTTTTTTTCAGTCCTCTTGTGGGATCTGCCGGCTTTTAATTCTGGTTATTTATTGACTGGGATTTAAATTTTTTTTTAAAAAAAGGCTCAGTTCATCAACTTGGATTAGAGCATTATAGAGCCTGGCTGCTCAAAAAGTCTCTAAGGTGATAGGCTGCCCATCGGTGCTCATTACGGAAATAATAGCTTCATTAAAAGAGCTTGGCGTTGGACGAGATAACATGTCTGAGCACGGTCTCTGGTCTCCCAGGGCAAAGGGTTGAGAAAGTGCACTCAAGCACGAACGTGCTTCTGGGTTCAATCTTGTAGTAATTAGAACATGCAAGGAAGAGGCTAAACCAACAAGGAAAAAACCAGGAACATAGTTCCCAGCATTTCAAGACACCATAAATACCTGTAAAGCAAGGGTGAAATCCAGCAGGTTCTGACAGGTTCTGGAGAATCAGTAGCGGAGATTTTGAGCATTTTGTAGAACCGGTAGCGGAAATTTTGAGTAGTTCGGAGAACCGGCAAATACTACCTCTGACTGGCCCCAGAGAGGGGTGGGAATGGGGATTTTGCAATATCCTTCCCCCAGGAGTGGGGAGGGAATGGGGATTTTGCAGTATCCTTCCCACAGGAGTGGGGAGGGAATGGGGATTTTGCAGTATCCTTCCCCCAGGGGTGGGGAGGGAATGGGGATTTTGCAGTATCCTTCCCCCAGGGGTGGGGAGGGAATGGGGATTTTGCAATATCCTTCCCCCAGGGGTGGGGAGGGAATGGGGATTTTGCAGTATCCTTCCCCCAGGGGTGGGGAGGGAATGGGGATTTTGCAATATCCTTCCCCCAGGAGTGGGGAGGGAATGGGGATTTTGCAGTATACTTCCCCTAGGAGTGGGGAGGGAATGGGGATTTTGCAGTATCCTTCCCCGGGGGTGGGGAGGGAATGGGGATTTTGCAGTATCCTTCCCCCAGGGGTGGGGAGGGAATGGGGATTTTGCAGTATCCTTCCCCCAGGAGTGGGGAGGGAATGGGGATTTTGCAGTATACTTCCCCTAGGAGTGGGGAGGGAATGGGGATTTTGCAATATCCTTCCCCCGGGGTGGGGAGGGAATGGGGATTTTGCAGTATCCTTCCCCCAGGGGTGGGGAGGGAATGGGGATTTTGCAGTATCCTTCCCCCAGGGGTGGGAGGGAATGGGGATTTTGCAGTATCCTTCCCCCAGGGGTGGGGAGGGAATGGGGATTTTGCAGTATCCTTCCCCTGCCACGCCCACCAAGCCACACCCACCAAGCCACGCCCACAGAACTAGTAGTAAAAAATGTGGATTTCACCACTGCTGTAAAGGAGGGGAAGGCTAGAAAAAATACCTCAATGATGAAGCCAAACTTGTGGTCTTCAGGAGACTTGGTAGCAAAATGTTGGGTTGGCCTTGACCTGCAGCATTATGAATAAGTTGCAAGGGATGTTGTAAACAATGATGATTTTCTTTTCTATGCCTTTAAAGGTGACTCCTGTCTCTTGCAAAGGCAGATATGCCTAACGGTTAATAATGCATGGTAGGAAGGAAAAATATGACACAGTATATTAGACCTGCCATCAGTGATAAACTTCCTGTACCATGCTGTTCTCTGGGAGATGAATAAGTTGGCTCTGCTTAGTTGAGAGAGTCTACAGGTTGTTATTATCTTACGACAGTCATAGTGGTGCTGGAAAATATGACTTAGAATAGAATAGAGTTGGAAGGGACCTTGGAGGTCTTCTAGTCCAACCCCCTGCTTAGGCAGGAAACCCTACACCACTTCAGACAAATGGTTATCCAAACTCTTCTTAAAAACTTCCAGTGTTGGAGCATTCACAACTTCTGGAGGCAAGTTGTTCCACTGATTCATTGTTCTCACTGTCAGGAAATTTCTCCATAGTTCTAAGTTGCTTCTCTCCTTGATTAGTTTCCACCCTTTGCTTCTTGTCCTGCCCTCAGGTGCTTTGGAGAATAGTTTGACTTTCTCTTCTTTGTGGCAGCTCCTGAGATATCGGAACACTGCTATCATGTCTCCCCTAGTCCTTCTTTTCATCAGACTAGACAGACCCAGTTCCAGCAACTGTTCTTCATACGTTTTAGCCTCCAGTCCCCTAATCATCTTTGTTGCTCTTCTCTGCACTCTTTCCAGAGTCTCAACATCTTTTTTTACATCATGGCAACCAAACAGGTCCTTGCACTTATAACCACTGCAACATCCCCATGATCGCATGATCATAAGTTCTTATATACCGCTTCACAGTACTTTGCGGCCCTCTCTAAGCCGTTTACACAACCAGCATATTGCCCCTCAACAATCTGGGCCCTCATTTTATCAACCTCGGAAGGATGGAAGGCTTGAGTAAACCTTGAGCCGGCCAGGATCGAACTCCTAACAGTCGGCAGAGTTAGCCTGCAATACTGCATTCCAATCACTGCGCCATCACAGCTCTTTGCTTAACGACCACAATAAAAATAGTCATAAAATTGGACACAACTCATTTAATCGCTTTGCTTCGTGACAGAAGTTCTGTGCCAATTATGGTCGTAATCAAGGACTACCTATATAACTAAGATGCAGAGAAGAGCAACAAAGATGATTAGGGGAATAGAGGCTAAAACATAGGAAGAATGGTTGCAGGAACTGGGTATGTCTAGTTTAATGAAAAGAAGGACTAGGGGAGACATGATAGCAGTCTTCCGATATCTCAGGGGCTGCCCCAAAGAAGAGGGAGTCAAGCTATTCTCCAAAGCACCTGAGGGCAGAACAAGAAGCAATGGGTGGAAACTAATCAAGGAGAGAAGCAACCTAGAACTAAGGAGAAATTTCCTGACAGTTAGAACAATTAATCAGTGGAACGACTTGCCTCCAGAAGTTGTGAATGCTCCAACACTGGAAATTTTTAAGAAGATGTTGGATAACCATTTGTCTGAAGTGGTGTAGGGTTTCCTGCCTGGGCAGGGGGTTGGACTAGAAGACCTCCAAGGTCCCTTCCAACTCTGTTATTCTATTTCTATTCTATTTCTAAGATCATCCAACGGTTACGAGATACAGTTTTTCCTTTATGCTTTAGGGACCCCTGTCACGTTTTTCACTGTGTACCTTGGCAAGTACAGCGCGTGGCACTTCATTTTTGCTATACCATGCCTTGTGTGTGCATTTTGAATAAGGGAGTGTTTAGTAATTTATTATACCTTTCTCCTGGGAAATCTACCGCAGATTATGCTGGTCTGGTGTGATTTATCTTCCCTAAGTTATTCCTAACTCAGGGAGCATGCATTAGTATGCTTTTTCCGCCAACAACAGAGCACAGCAAAACTCACCATCGATCAAAAAAATAAATAAATAAATTGAAATATGGAAAATTAAGAATGGTGGCAAGGACTCTCTCAGAAGACAATGTCGAAACGATAATGTATCACTTAACAGGGCTATAAATACTTCTATCGTTATTGTTCTCCGCAGGGTCAGGTTCGTGCCGTTTTAGCTACTCCGATCCGGACATCATTGTCTCCTATTCAAAGAATAATTCAGAAGATTGGATTCAACTGGAGAAAATTAGGTTGGTTATAACTCTCTTTCTCGGCACTTATTTTTTGTTTTACAAAGGTTGGCTGTTGGGTGTTTTATTTTATTTCGCTGTTGAAATGTTGCTTTGTGTGTGAGTGTTTTTTTTAAAAGAAGCGCCTTATCTATGTTTTCATACGGTAAATTAAAATTGATACATCTAAAATAACAAAAATACAAGATTTGAATTTTTTTAGCAGGCTGTATTAGAGGGACAGTTTAGATATATTAGTTTATATTTCTGCGACTCTGAGTGGCTTAAAGGTAAAGGTTCCCCTCGCACATATGTGCTAGTTGTTCCCGACTCTAGGGGACAGTGCTCATCTCCGTTTCAAAGCCAAAGAGCCAGTGCTGTCCGAAGACGTCTCCGTGGTCATGTGGCTGGCATGACTAAACACCAAAGGTGCATAGAACACTGTTACCTTCCCATCAAAGGTGGTCCCTATTTTTCTACTTGCATTTTTTATCTGCTTTCGAACTGCTAGGTTGGCAGAAGCTGGGACAAGTCACGGGAGCTCACCCGTTACGCGGCACTAGGGATTCGAACCGCTGAACTGCCAACCTTTCGATCGACAAGCTTAGCATCTTAGCCACTGAGCCACCATGTCCCTACCTGAGTGGCTTACAAAGGGCTAAAAACATACAAACTAATCAACACTAAACACAGAGGGACACTCCACAAAACAGCAAAACTGAAGCCAAGCCACAAATATATCCCAATTCTAAAACCTTTACGTCAACTTGCAAAGCTTTCAAGTTGCCATGAGCAGGAGGGAGGGAGAACTGATAGAGCTGATTGATTTCCCTAACTGAAGTGCATTCCATACATTCTTCCTGACCGCAATCAGAAGGAGGGTGTTGGATTTCACAGCCAGCCAAAGTGGTTAATTGGAGAATGTGATTTATGACATGGCCAGAGAGGAGGGGAGAGACAGGGTCATAGGGGAACGTAAATCTACGTGGGATTAGTTCTAACTGCATCCGAATATTGCCGAAATGGTGCTCCTAATAAATGACTGTATTTCTTTTGAAGTTCGGCTCATGGCTCATGAATTAGGGCATCTTTCGAAAACTTCACATTCTAGTCTAGAAGAATGCCCAGGTGGAAAAAAAAACAAGACTTTGTGGAAGGCAATGTGAATCCTGGAGAATAAATTTTTCTGTAGAACAGGTGCTGAGATATAGAAGGTATGCTACCTGCTTCCCAATAGGAGATATCAACCTTGCTGGATCTCATAGGATAGAAGCGAGATGATTACAGATAGGTTGACTTGGAGCCTTGTGCCAGGAAGGGCTTTACTAGTATTAACCAGCACTTTGCACCTGGAAACCTACAAACAGTGGTGGGATTCAGCCGGTTTGGGCCAATTTGGGTAAACCAGTTGTTAAATTGCTGCCTGGTCCCTCCCCGCCCCTTCCAGGAGTCCCCACATGCTCTATTTTGGATCCTAGGTAAGTGCAGGGCAGCCTACCATGCCCAAAATGGGGCACGGGGGTGTGGTGCACCCCCCCCCTGCGCAGCCCATTTTTGCTCCCAGGAAGCTGCAGAGAGGCCTACTAGGCCCAAAACAGGGCACAGGGGGCGGCATGTCCCCTCCTGTGACCTGTCTTTGCTCCCGGGAGGATTCAGGAGGTCGAGTGCTGCCTGGTCACATCCACCATGGCCACGTCAACCCATCCGGTCATGAGGGCTGAGAACCAGTTGTTAAATTATTTGACTCCCACCACTGCCTACAAACACAATTAACAGTATTGTAAGAGACTTTGGAAGTCTTCTAGTCCAACCCCCGCCAGCTCAAGCAACCTTGGCAACCCTGCACTTCCAAAGTAGCGATGTTTCAAGGTGTGCCCATAAACCACCTGTACCCATTCATTCTGGACCATTTGTAGCTTCCAGATAGTCTTCAAGAGAGCTCCATATAGTTCACATCGCGATAGTCCGAATGATATGACTAAGGCATGGGAATCCCGAGCAGGGACTTTTCAACCAAGAAACAGTTGCAAGTGGCTCACAAGATGGATTTGTGCAAAGGTCCTCTTTGGCCATGAGTGCCACCTGGTCTTCCAGTAGGAACTGAGAGCCCAAGGAAGGACTTCCAAGTTGTGTATCAATTTTGCCTGTACCAATCCCATCCTGAATTAACGATAGAGAATTCTCAGAATTGGGGTCCTGCTGAATTCTACCCCGTCCATATCCACCTGGTGGCATTACTTGATTTCTACCTAGGGTGGAAATCAGCAGATGGATATATCTGACCCAACGTCCATGAATTATTTCACTTGATGGCTTCATTTAGCTGTTAAAAAGAGCAGAGAACCCTCAGGAACCTCGTAAAGCCAGGGTATTGGCTTCAATATATCCTATCAGGTGTGAGAAATCAGGAACCAGAGTTGTTAAAATGACAAGTTTATTCCTGGCTACCTCTAAACAAGAATCTGAACTACTAACGGTCAAGGCAAATTGGCGGTAGATAAGAGTCAGCGGAATTCAAGGAGGGCTAGAATTGGATCTCTTGTGAGAACGAAGGAATTCAAGACTGATGACGCACTTGACTCCTTCCTCGGGCTCAGCCTGGTCATCTCCTACATCTCTCCCCACAACATCTTCTGGAACCAGACCTGAAGGAAGGAGAATAGCCATTGTGACACCCTTGAAGCAATGGTTACTCGTATCAAAGGCTGCCGAAAGAGCCAAAAAGCTAAGATAGATGGATCACTCTCCACTCTGGTCTTGCTGTAAATCTTCTACTGATGCAACCAATGATGTCTTAGTTCTATATCCTAGTCTGAATCCTGATGGAAAGGGATCCAGATAATCTGTTTCCTGTAGAGCTTTTGGCAAACCAAAGACCTTCTCAACAACTTCCCTGAAAAAGGGAAGGTTGCACGCTGAGTCTTATGATGGCTTCTTGGGAAACCAACAACCTACTTCAAGAGCAAGACTGCCCTCTTACTATGATCCAACCACACATCACAATTTGGGCAGCTTGAACCAATTAGAAAGGACATGGATCTAATATGCATTTACACTAACCCAGGGGTGAAATGCTACGTCATGAAAAAAAGTGACCTGTGATCGTTTTTCACACTTACACCGTTGTAGCATTCCCACGAAATTTGGACACTTGGCAATTGGCATGAACTTATGTTGTATCCCCTGGGTCACGCGATCCCCTTTTGAGACCTTCTGACGAGCAAAATCAATAGAGAAGCCAGATTCACTGAACAACGGTGTTACTAATTTAACAACTTCAGTGATTCACTTAACAACTGTGGCCAGAATGGTCGTAAAATGTGGCAAAACTCACTTAACAGCTGCCCCACTTAACAACATAATTTTTTTGGTCAAAACTTGAGGACTCCTTCTATAAAATTTACAAATTACTTTTAGGACACCGTTTCAGCCAAATGCAATTGTCAGGGTTCCGACGGATGCCCTAATTAATTCATGAGCCTCGAGCCAAATTTCAAAAGAAATCCAGTTATTTATTAGGAGCAACATGTCGGCACATACCCAAGTGGAGTCAGCTCTGCCTCACGTAATTTACGTCCCTACTATGACCCTGTTTCCCTCCCTCCTCCCAGGGTGCGTCATAAATCACATTCTCCAATGAAGCACTTTTGCGGGCTATAGAGAACACGCCTATTTGGCTGGCTCTGGTAACCTAGGCTTCGGCCTTGAGAAGGTATGTGTGGAATGTGCTTCTGGTTGCTGCCATGTTGCTCCGTCAGTTTTTCCCCCCCTCTTGCCTATGGCAACTCGAGAGCAGGCCAGGAGCGCTTTACATTTTTCATGATGGCAATTTCATTTTAATTTCAACAAATACTGCAACATTAACTCGTTGCCTAGAATCGAACTGTTTGATTGGGTAGATAAGATTTTCATGAGTATCAAGTTATGAACTTTGTTTACTTGCCCTGACAACGTGAGAATAATAATAATAATAATAATAATAATAATAATAATAATAATAATAATAACAACAACAATAATAATAATAATAATAATAATAATAATAATAATAATAATAATAATAATAATAATAATAATATTCATTTTGCCTACTTGTGTCATACAGAGCTCCTTCTAACGTCAGCACCATCATCCACATTCTGTATCTCCCCGAAGAAGCCAAAGGAGAAAATATTCAATTTCAGTGGAAACAGGAATATGTACATGTGGGTGACGTGTACGAATCCTGCTGGGCGTTGGACAATATCTTGATCATCAACGCAGCTCACAGACAAATCGTTTTAGAAGACAATCTCGATCCTGTGGATACGGGAAACTGGCTGTTTTTCCCCGGAGCCACGATTAAGGTTTGCTTAATTTTGATTTCTAATTTGCAATTAGTTGACTCCATGAAGTATTTGAACTTCTCTCCTGAGCAATAAACGCTGCTTGAGATGAAACCCCAAAAGAGGAAAGAGAGATGCCTCCTCTAATTATTTCAATTTTTACCACCCATCACTCACGCAACGTAGCTTTGTATGTTGCGTAGGGGGTTATCAAATGAAAGTTTAATCTCTAGAATACTCAAGGCCAGCTGTGTAGCCAAGCAGTACAGATAGTCCTTGATTTACAACTTGGACTTACAACTAAACCTTGGAGAGGGTCTAAGCCTTTATGCATTTTTAGTCTTGCAGTCTGACTCATGAACAATATACTTAGTCATTTCACGGTTTCTTTTCCACCTTGCAAGATTCGTTTTTTTCTCGCCATGTACATGTATACATCCGAACTAGACTGTTGTTGTTTCTCTGTGTCATATATATATATATATGGGGGTATATGCATAATTTTGTATTTATTTATTTTGTCACGTTTGTGTAGTGTATATTTGAGGTGGTGACACTTTGACAGCTGTATGCAATGAAATTTTATTTTAATTTAGGCCGATTAGTGTACATTCAAAGTGAAAATAAGGTTATTCTATCTATCTATCTATCTACCTACCTACCTATCTATTATCTGTCTGTCTGTCTGTCTGTCTGTCTGTCTGTCTGTCTGTCTGTCTATCTATCTATCTATCTATCTATCTATCTATCTATCTATCTATCTATCATCTATCTGTCTATTATCTCTCTCTACCTACCTACCTACCTACCTATCCTTCCATCCATCATATCTATCTATCTATCTATCTGTCTATCTATCTATCTATCTATCTATCTATCTATCTATCTATCATCTATCTGTCTGTTATCTCTCTCTCTACCTACCTACCTACCTACATATCCATCCATCCATCATATCTATCTATCTATCTATCTACCTACCTACCTATCTTTCTATTATCTATCCATCCATCCATCCATCCATCCATCTACTATCTATCTATCTATCTATCTATCTATCTATCTATCTTCTATCTATCTCTCTATTATCTATCTATCACCTGTAAAATGATAAAGATGTGTCTCCTTTGAAGTATACATGATTGTGTATTTCTAAAAAAAACATATACATAGGGCTTTATAAAGATTCCTTACTGACACTGATCATATTTTTGGCAAGTTGGAGAACATAGGTGTGTCCTACAATACAACCAATATGGGATTTCCCCTCCTCTGTAATTGTTTTTTATCGTGTGGTGTCTGAATAGTACTTCAATAACCAATATGCTTTTGAAATGTTCCTAAATTGCTGATATAAATATCTAAACCGATGTTGAAATATTTGGCATGCCATCTGGAAATGCCATTTTGCTGGTCGTGCCTATTCCTATAATTACGATGGCTCAATTCTTTTCTAATATCTTTTGCTTTATGGTGCCTTCCCCCCCCCACCCCCACTCACATTGTTCTATGGAGCAATCTCTCTTAATGGAATATACATGTATAATCGGCCACCCTTTACGCTGTTCAGTTGATCTACTCTTGTTCCATTGTTGCGTGCATCTCCGATTAAGGCTTACATCAAAAGTGGGTGAATTAGAGATTAAATATGGACTGAAGTTCCCATAAAACGCTTGTCGATATTCCCTTTCAAAACCAACAGAGTGTAAAATATCTATCTGTCAGGACAATGCATTAGTTGATTAACCTTTCGTCTCTCTCTCTCTGTCTCTCTCTGCATAGAATTTTAGAAAGTAAATTAAATTTGTCAAACTAATCCCCATCTGGCATTTATTCCCATTACGCTTCATGCCGCATGGAGCTAGGCATGTGTTTTTGAAAAATAGAAACCATACAGTCTAGTATTATTATATAATGTAATATATATTATACTAGCTGGACACCCGTGCTTCGCTACAAAACTATGTGATCGGGCGTGATAAATTGACACTTAAAGCCTGAAACTTAATGTAGAATGTGTAACTCCATAGCATCGGAACATGTTAATATATGGCCTCTCCCACCGCGCCCCTCCCCTCCCAGGAGTCCCTACACGGTCTATTTTGGATGCAGGTAAGGGGAGGGCACGCATGGAGGCTTGGGGAGGGTGAAAAGCGGGCCTACCAGAAGTTTGGGAAGGCCATTTCTGGCCTCCAGAGGGCCTCTGGAGCCTGGGGAGGACTATTTTCACCTTCCCGGAGTTCAAGGAAAGCCTCCGGAGCTTGGGGAGGGCAAAAACACCCCCCTCCCATGGTGCAGGAGGTCGACTAGGCCATGCCCACCTTGGCCACGCCCACCCAGCAAATGGGCAGATAACCCAATGCTAAAATTTTTGAAGCCCACCCTTGGTTAGGATTATCCTTCCATTCCCCACCATCCAGTCAGAGCTGAAGAAGCTTCTTGGATGAGAAGCGAAACGTCTTCAAAGAAAAACCAGAAAGTCCAGTTGCCTCTTGAAAAAAAAACACCTTTGGGATAAAAACAGGTAGTCCTCAACTTGCAACCATTCATTTAGTGTCTGTTCAAAGTCATGACACTGAAAAATTGCTTCGCGATTGCTCATGAATTTATTATATTCAGCTCCTGGTGACTAAATGGATATCTTTGTATTTGGGTTGGGGTTTTTTTGACAATTACTTTGCTAATGTGATTGATCTTCTGTGATTTCCCAATAATCCCCTGTTCAAGTACTAATTGGATCTGACCCTGCTTAACTGTTCAAGATCAGCCGATGTTAACTAGTTGTTAGCTATAACAACTTCTCATCTATACATCACATCAAAAGTAATTAAACCTTCCAGTTTTACTCAATAAAGAGCAGCTTTAATCCTAGTTATATGTGCCTTTTAATTATGAAAAAGCCTGAATTATTCCCTCTGTATTTCAACCTTATAACCCATTAATTTAAAAAAAAAAAACAGCCATTACTGTTAAATGCATAACTGTAAATGCATTAAGGTGTATCAAAGTTACAACTTTCCATTAATCTGCAATCAGTTTTATAGTGCAATATTATAATTATAATTCAAGAATTATTCCTTGCTTTCCGTAACGGTAACTTTCAAAGAGATGGATTTCGAATCGCACTCTTAAAATAAAAATTAAAAAAAAAATTATATTATAATTTTTTTCCTGGCAGCGCATAATATCGAATTCATGTTTGTGTACACAATATCTTTTTTTTTAATTAATTTCTTTCCGTCTTCAATTTTTCTTTCCTCGTATTTAATCAATTTGCATGCCATAGGTTTTAATTAAAAACCACTCTGTGAAGGATCAGAAGTGGTACTAAAAACAATCATTTAATATGTGACAGTGATTACAAAATGGAGTGCAATTGAAGTGTGCCACTTGGTTTGTTGCAAATAACAGTCTAACTTGCATTTTGAAAAGGCACTTTAGTTCTGTAGTCGATGCAACCAGTCTGGCTGGATTTTTTTTTTTTTTAATTGCTTTTCCAGCTGGATGGGTGAATGACAACTTCTTAATGGAGAAAATCGATGACTGTCCATTAAAGTAGCGGTACAAGAGAAGTGGGCAGGTTTCTTTCCATTTAACACCAACCTGTTGCAAACTGGTACTGACCACACACAGGACAAGCTCATCCCAAAATAACCAGAGTTGTTTTTTTAAAAAAATAACATCTTTGTGAAGCTCTGATTTGTTTGAGAGAAATTTCGTGTCCATTAAGCTTCTAACCAATCTTTCAGATAAATTTTGATTGGATTTAAGTATTGGTATAGGGAACACCAGTATTGCAGAGTTGGAATTGAGAATTCAGAAAGATGAGAGCTATCATAAAACCTTCGAATCAAGTAAACGAAGGGATTTAGTCCAGATGCATCCAGTGGAAGCATCTTGAAGCTGCAAACTAGAAGTTATGAAAGGCTATATTTAATAAATAAAAAAGGATGCATTGCTTTATAGTTATGCTTATTAAAGAAATTTCAAATTTGGGGTGAAATTAATGGATGATGGATGAGGAGGAGGAGAAGAAGAAGAACAGAAGGAGAAGAAGGAAAAGGAAAAGGAGAAGGTGGAGGAGAAGAAGGAGAAGGAGAAGGTGGAGGAGAAGAAGGAGAAGGAGAAGGAGAACAGGAGGAGGAAGAGGAGAAAGGGAGGAAGAGGAGATGGAAAAGAAATCATTTTCATTGATTCAATTAAATTCACAAAGGTTTTAGTTGTACATTCTATTACGTTTGGAAGACTAAAACGTTTGTTTGTAATAATAGCTGCTGCCTTATTGCTCATCAGCATTTCATTTTTGGATTTATGCACATGCCTTCTTTGATGCTACAGTATGTTTTCAAATAAGTTTCAATTTGCTCTCTATAGACTCAGCTTTTAGGCATCAGGTGATTATTAAAAATAGAATTGCTGGAGGCCTTTGATTGAGAGTTGTTGCCATTTATTTTTATTGCTTGGGCTTAGCTGTTTAATTCCATATCATCACCTGACATGTTGCAAAGCTATTATGAGGTTTCTTGATGCTCCTTATTAAAAAAAGGACATTTGAAAAAAGGTTAACTAAATCATAGGACCATGCTTTGATATCCAAGCAAACTTTGTATCTTAAATCTGTTGCGAAATTAAATTCAGCATGGAAGCTATCTCTGGTTTGCAGTTTGAGGAACGCATTTGCGTCCCATCCAAGGATTTGGTTTCTCATTACAAAAACATCTTAATATTTCAGCTTTATAAGTTCTCTAAAATCAGATTAGACTTTTAATCATATGGACAGAATTGACTGTAATTTTATGATCTATACGGCTGTTTCTGATACATAGATTCTGTTACGAGTCCCATGGCACAAAGTTGTTTTTTTAAAACAATGTAATGCACACTTATGATGGGGACGCAGTGGCTCAGCAGCTAAGACGCTGAGCTTGTCGATCGAAAGGTCGGCAGTTCAGCAGTTCGAATCCCTAGTGCCGCCTAACGGGGTGAGCTCCCATTACTTGTCCCAGCTTCTGTCAACCTAGCAGTTCGAAAGCCCGTAAAAAATGCAAGTAGAAAAATAGGGACTACCTTTGGTGGGAAGGTAGCAGCGTTCCGTGCGCCTTTGGCATTGAGTCATGCCGGCCACATGTCCACGGAGACGTCTTCGGACAGCGCTGGCTCTTCGGCTCTGAAATGGAGATGAGCACTGCCCCCTAGAGTCAGGAACGACTAGCACGCATGTGCGAGAGGAACCTTTACCTTTAATGGACTCTTAGAGTTTTTAAAACGATATACTTCATTTATGATCCATTAATGAAATATTGAAAAAAAGTAATTTCCAAGATACATATATAAATCCCCCTGTCCTACTACTTTCTAATTCTTTTTTCCTTTTTTTCTCTCTCTCTTTTTTTTTAATAAAAATGTATTTCTAAAAATCTTTGAAAGAGTCACCTCCTTATGAAAGTTAATATCACGATACAGTAATTTATAGTTAAAAGTATGGTGTCCACAGCTAAAATACTAACATTTTCATCATTTTCATTATTATTATTTTTGGAGCTACTGCAATAAAAATTTAAAATCCTCAATAAATAAATCAGGATCTGATGTTTCAGGGATCAGTGCCAACGAAAAATAAGCAGCTGACATTTGGGATTAAAGATACAATATAGTTATACAGTGACATCTATCCTGTGTGTGTGTTTGTGAGTGTGATTAAAAAACCAAGGTGGCAATGTAATTTAAGTTTTGTCTTTTTTTAAAATGTGCATCAAATGCCCTGGGTGTATAACTACCATATTTTTCAGAATATAAGACGCACTTTTTTCCCTCCTAAAAGGGGGTGAAAATTTTGTTGCATATTATACACCAAATGTATCCCCGCCCACCCACTGGCCCCCACCCTTTGGCCTCTGCTTCCCAGCAGTTTACCTCCTTACAGCAAGCAGCAAGAAGAAACAGCTCATTTCAGTTTCAGCACAGCCTAATTAGCACAAGTTGATTGGATCTGCCTCCCGACTCTCAGCTGTTTTGCTCTCAGCTGTTTTGCTGCAGCCTCTGCTGCTTGCTGCAAGGAGGTAAATTGCTAGGAGAAGTTTTTTTTTCTTGTGCTAATCAAGCTATGCTGAAAACGAAAATGAAAGTAAAACAGGCTGTTTGTTGATTGCTGCAATGAGGCAAAATTGCTGGGAGGCTGAGGCAGATTTCTTTTTCTTGTTTTCCTCACCAAACAAGGTAGGTGCATCTTATAGTCCGGAGCGTCTTATACTCTGAAAAATACAGTAATTGTGTTTGACAAATGTAGGGTTGCCATGATGAATAGTAACCAAAAGAGGATGGACTTTTGTAATGTCTGGTAGAGCTTTAAATTAAAATGATTGTGTTTGAAAAATGATTAATTACAGGTAGTCCTCGACTTACAACAGTTTATTTAGTGACCGTTCGAAGTTACAACGGCACTGAAAAATAGTGGACTTATGACCATTTTTCACACTTATGACCGTTGCCGCATCCCCATGGTCAGGTGGTCAAAATTCAGACACTTGGCAACTGACTCATATTTACAACGGTTTCAGTGTCCCGGGGTTACGTGATCCCCATTTGCGACCTTCTGACAAGGAAAGTCAATGAGGAAACCAGATTCACTTAACAACCATGTTATTAACTTAACAACTCCAGTGATTCACTTAACAATCGTGGCAAAAAAGGTCGTAAAAGGGGCAAAATTCACTGAATGAACGTTTCACTTAGCAGCAGAAATGTTGGGATGAACATTGGGCAGAAGTCAATCTCAATCTCTTTTTTTGAGTTTAGCTTCTCTTACGAGCCATTTATCAAATAATATGACTTTTCCCCCCTGCAAAGCTCACGTACTAAATTGACTTAATAGATTCTTCTGGCATGTGTTCCTCTGCAGCATAGCTGTCAGTCAGATGGAAATGCAATTTACTTCCACGGAACTGAAGGCAGTGAGTTAAATTTTGCCACGACACGCGACGTGGACCTCTCCACTGAAGACGCTCAGGAGCAATGGGCCGAAGAATTTGAGAGCCAGCCAAAAGGGTGAGTTGTAAACTCTTGGGATGTTGAGTTGGTGTATTTTCAAGCCAAACACTTTGCTGGTTTGTAGCAACATGCAATGTTAATAAAATCATGGATTTCTCCAAATTTTGAGGACAAACTAGTTGACAAGGGGCGGTTGTTTCCAAAGGACAAGTTTTTAAAACTACCCACTTTTCAGTGACAAAAATTATTGTTGGCATCGTGGTAGAACATAAAAGGGACATGGTGGCTCAGTGGCTAAGACGCTGAGCTTGTCGATCGAAAGGTCGGCAGTTCAGCGGTTCGAATCCCTAGTGCCGCCTAACAGGGTGAGCTCCCGTTACTTGTCCCAGCTTCTGCCAACCTAGCAGTTCGAAAACACGTAAAAAACGCAAGTAGAAAAATAGGGACCCCCTTTGGTAGGAAGGTAACAGCGTTCCGTGCGCCTTTGGCGTTGAGTCATGCCGGTCACATGACCACAGAGACGTCTTTGGACAGCGCTGGCTCTTCGGCTTTGAAACAGAGATGAGCACCGTCCCCTACAGTCGGGAACGACTAGCACATATGTGAGAGGGGAACCTTTACCTTTATGGTAGAACATGGAGATAAAATCTGAAGGAATCTCCTGTGGAAAATCCCAGAGATAGATAGATAGATAGATAGATAGATAGATAGATAGATAGATAGATAGATAATCTTGTTTCCCCAAAATTAAGACCCAACCGGAAAATAAGCCCTAGCATGATTCTTCAGGTTGCTCGTAATATAATCCCTACCCCAAAAATAAGCCCTAATTAAAATAGTCAACCAGACGGAGGCATATAAATATGGGGCCCCTATTGTGCTATAATGCCCAAATCACTGAAATTAATATACGAATGCTTATCACAACTGTTATTTACACTATATTAATATTGATGGTATTGGCACTCCAAATATATAATACATATCACGAACCATTAGTTCAACATTTGTTCCAGGGCAGAAATCTCATTTCAATGCCAGCGTGCTGGGTAAGTGGTTTTTATAGTGCATTCAGTTTCCTCTGGAGAGATGAGACATGATTCATGTTTCTCAATGAAGCAAATAACCAATACAAGTAGGACAGTGGAAGTACATACTGGCTGTTGATATCACCTGTCCTCTGGTTTCGGATGAGGTTGAAAGTAAGAAATTCCCGTGCCTGTGTTTTAGCCTATTTTGAATTCTCGGTTTGGGATTTAATTTTTTTTTTACTAGTTGCATGGATGCTTCATATTTTTTCAATTAAGGCTCAAGGTAAGCCACAAGGAGCAAGTCTCTAGGAAAGCGTTCTTGAGCATCTTTTAATTGAGTCACTTGTTTTCTTTCAAACAGCCTCTGCCCCCGCATCTTCTAAAATTTGAACGATAACCATCGTTACAGACAATAAGGCTTTCCCAACATTTACTTCAGCAACTGTCAGCATCTGTAGGCAATTTAATATTCCCCATATGAGAGCTTATGCACCTGAGACAAATTCCTTGTGTGTCCAATCACACTTGACCAATAAAGAATTCTCTTCTCTTCTCTTCTCTTCTCTTCTCTTCTCTTCTCTTCTCTTCTCTTCTCTTCTCTTCTCTTCTCTTCTCTTCTCTCCTCTCCTCTTCTCTTCTCTTCTCTTTGCTTCTTTTCGCTTCTCTCCTCTTCTCTTCTCTCCTCTTCTCTTCTCTTCTCTTTGCTTCTCTTCTCTTCTCTTCTCTTCTCTCCTCTTCTCTTCTCTTCTCTTTGCTTCTTTTCGCTTCTCTCCTCTTCTCTTCTCTTCTCTTCTCTTTGCTTTTCGCTTCTCTTCGCTTTGCTTCTCTTCGCTACTCTACTCTACTCTACTCTACTTTATTCTTCTTCCTCGCTCTATTCTACTTTACTATACTCTATTCTTCTTCCTCATTCCATTCCATTCCATTCCATTCTATTCTATTCCATTCTATTCTATTCTATTCTATTCTATTCTATTCTATTCTATTCTATTCTATTCTATTCTATTCTTTCTTTTTCTATTGTATTCTATTGTATTCTATCCTATCCTATCCTATCCTACCCTACCCTACCCTACCCTACTCTATTTTTCTTCCTTATTCTATTCTATTCTATTCTATTCTGTTCTGTTCTGTTCTGTTCTGTTCTGTTCTGTTCTGTTCTGTTCTGTTCTGTTCTGTTCTATTCTATTCTATTCTATTCTTATTCTTTCTTTTTCTATTCTATTCTATTCTATTCTTATTCTTATTTTTTCTTTTCCTATTCTATTCTATTCTGTTCTATCCTATCCTACCCTACCCTACTCTACTCTATTCTACTCTACTTTACTCTACTCTACTCTACCATATGATTCTGATCATCCCTCATCATTCTCTATGCTGACTAAGGCTGATGGAAGATTTTATCTCAACTATTTAAAATGTTCCAGATAGTCTTCCTTGGTTAGTATAAAGTAACATTAATTCTTGATCCTTGATTCATTCAACATTTGTAACTCCCAACAATCGTTCGCAGTCGTTATGTTGAATCCTTTAATTCTTTGATCGCATACTCTTTTTCCCACAGGATCCCTGCCTCATTGAGTACCCAGGATGGACGATGTTCAGAGAATGGGTAGCTATTCGGAGTTTCTTCCTATCCTTTTTTTTTTCCCTCTCTCTCTCTCTCTGATACTCCCCAGCCTTATATTTATCACTATGTGGCAGAGATCCTGTGGCTTAAGAACTGGATGTGGTCATCTATCATCCCAATTGCACCAGAAAAACCAACATAAGCTAATTGTCTTCAAGTTTCGATCTTAGCCAGACGAAGTTTAGTTCAGCCATAGTTTTCTTTTCATATCCCTTTGCTACAGAAGATTGCTGGTTTCCCCGTTGGCGTGTCCTGCATGGTAGAATGAATCATCCAGTAACTCTAATTTCTGAATCTGTCTTTGGACCTATTTATTTGCTTCTCTAGGCTCTGACCTTATCTTATTCCCTGTCACTTTTCATTATCTGATCTATCTTTGGCCTGCAAAGGGTCTGCTTATGTCTTTACTGTGGAGAAGACATACTGTATGTATCATCTTAATGCCTCCTCTCCTCTCTCCTTGGATAACTTACACTCATTTATTTAGTTCTCTTAGACTCCTGTTGCCATTTTTCCCCCCCAGTTGGGGACAAATTGCATTCTTTTGTGTATCATTCCCTCCTAAGAGAGTTCTCCATTTCTTGGTTATTGCAACTTCATTCTCTATCTCACTTTAAAACAACTTCCAAGTTGTTTTTTTTTATTAATGCTTGAGAATATAGCAAAAGTTAATAAGTTTTGGTATGTGGGAACATCTTTAACAAGCCATATCTATTAACCTTGGTCAGTGGTGGGATGCAACCGGTTTAACAATCCGGTTTGGTGAGCTTTCGGCATGCACTTAGCATGATTGCACCAGAGGTGGGTTTCAGCAGGTTCTGACCAGTTCTGGAGAACCGGTAGCGGAAATTTTGAGTAGTTCGGAGAACCGGTAAATACCACCTCTGACTGGCCCCGCCCCCATCTATTCTCTGCCTCCTGAGTCCCAGATGATTGGGAGGAAATGGGGATTTTGCAGTATCCTTCCCTTGTCACGCCCACCAAGCCACACCCATAGAAGCAGTAGAAACTGAATTGCGCGCAGCACTTAAAATACAGCAATTTGAAGATCAGCTGCTTACCTTCTAAGGCAGCCCTGGTAAGTAGAACAGGGGAGGCGTGAAAATCAGCTGTGCCCTGCAAATCAGCTGAGCCACGAAGAAGGAAATAAAGGACAGGATAGGGCAGGGGCAGCTGATCGTCGGAGCTACCAGTTCGCTTGAACTGGTCTGAAGTGGCTGAATACCACCTCTGAACTTGATGGGATAACCCGCATGGACAAATAGATAACCAAATCTGAACAATCATAACAAGGTGACACCTTAATGGAAGTTAAGACATACCATTGAAGATGTCAACCGTTCATTTTCCCTTCAGATGTTGTGGGTGGTTCATCATTGGAGGTTTTTAAGAAGAGACTAGACAGTCCCTTATCTGAAATGGTATAGGTCAGTGATGGCTAATCTTTTTGCCGTCGCATGCCAAAAGCGGGGGAGCGCGGTGGGGGTCACAGACACGTGTGCCCACACCCAAAGTTTATTTATTTATTTTTTTTATTTATTTTTTAAATTTTTATACCGCCCCTCTCCCGAAGGACTCGGGGCGGTGAACAGCCAAGATTAAGAAACATCCAATACAAACATTAAAATGCATTTAAAACAAAATTAAATCCAATGGCTTTCCCCAATTTAAAACCCCTTACCCATAAAATTCACCAATAAAAATTCTAAGCCAAATTCTAAGTTCAATGCCCCCCTGCCACGCCACGCCATGCCATGCCACGCCACGCATGCGCATGTGATCCCCCTGCGCTCCCCTTCGCTTTTGTCATGTGACGGCAAAAAGGTTACTGATGGGCCCTGAAGCCTGGGGAGGGTTTTTCACCCTCCCCAGGCTCCAGAAGCTTTCTTGGAACCTGGAAAGAGTTCCAAGGCCCTCCGGAGGCCGGAAACGAACCGTTTCCCAACTTCTCTTGGGCCCGGAAGGACCGTTTTTTTGCCCTCCCCAGGTTCCAGAGACTTTCTTGGAGCCTGGAGAGAGCGAAAACAGCCTCCCCCCCCCCAAGGCCCTCCAGAGACCGGAAATGGCCCATTTTCTGACTTCCGGTAGGCCCAGAAAGCCCGAAAATCAGATGGCTGGTGCACACATGTGCACTGGAGCTGAGCTAGGGCAACGCTCGCGTGCCCACAGATATGGCTCCACATGCCACCTGTGGCACACGGGTATAGGTTCTCCTGCTTGAGCAGGGGGCTGGACTAGAAGACCTCCAAGGTCCCTTCCAGCTCTATTCTATTCTAACTATCTAAATCCAATTAGATGGATATAAAGTTTAGCCGTTCCATATGAGTCTCTATTGATGTTGATTAATGTAGCAGAATGTGAAAATGAATTGCTAACCCTGCTACTGCCTAAAATGT